AATTTTAACAACGAATGGAAGGCCAGAAAGTGAGGTTAAGTCATTGATGAAAATATCCCACAATTCAAATGTCAGAATAGAGTCACATCTGTTTATTCCAAAATGGCCGAGTCAATCAGTTTTTTTTTTGTTTTTTTTTTTCATAGATATCATAGAAATGGGTATAAAAAAACTTTTACATCTTTTTTTTCTGAATAAATAATCATATCACTTCTCATCTCTATCAAATATAGCATGCTTGTAGCAAACTTATATTGGAGATGGTAGGTCAAGGGATCTTTTGGGGAGAGCGGACTAGGAAGCTATGCTGTCGGAGTTATCTCCTCCTTAATTTCCTAATTATCACTAGGGGTCGCTCTCCGTACACTATGAATACTGGGCGACTTGTTGCCTCGTTCTCTTTTTTACTTTGCATTTCAGCGGACACATTTAAACATGTGATCTCTCGCAAAGATCCGCGTTTTTGCCCACTTGTGGGAAAACGCTATGAAACACATACACGTACGTACGAACATTCACCAACATACAAACTCTTTACGTCCACACACAAACACAAATGTTGATGTCTTTGTCACTTGTAAATTTGTTGTTTAATACATATATATGTTGACACACACACACACACACACACACACACACACACACACACGCACATATATATATATATATATATATATATATATATATATATATATCGGTCTTGTTTGTTTTCTTTACATCTCCGGTTCGACTCAACTTGAGTCCGCCATTTTTCTTGTAGTTAGACTTTCTTCTAGCAGGAATAAACAGCGCGTGTTTCTAATTAAACAACACGTAAACACACGGTCCTCTACAAAGCATTGTCTTGGAGGAGGGCCATCATATCAAATGTATTATAATAAATTGTCTCGATCGCAGACTGCTTTGTCCAAAAGGCTGCCTTTATCTGGAAGTTTTAAAAGATTCAACAGAATTAATGCTATATTATTTAAACAAGGTTCCTTATTTTACTACAGGATACCAATTAACACAATAAAAAAATGCAAATTCCTTACTACAAACGAAATACAGTCAGAAATGGCAAATTATTTAACGAGACACTTGTTTCTGGTTATTATTTGATAAATTCTTCACATCAGGTGAAATATTTGTCAATGGCAGGAGCAAAACATCATCCAAGTGGTCATCACCCAACCTTGTTCTTGAACGACTTTTAGTAGACTTCATTTTCGAAAAAAGTTGTTCAGAAACGTATGTACTTCATTTTCGTATTATTTAATAGGCTTTTCTATTTTTCGTTTGTCAAAACATATTTCTTGTAGAAGTCAGCAATGGATTCAGAATTAAATTTTCATTTAAAAAATTCGTCGCATTGTAAGTCAATTAGCAATTAACTCCAAATGATAATTTTTTCTGCAACTTGCTCCACAAATTAATTACATAATTAGTGTCCAGGTATTACCCTAGCGGGCCGGACAAAAATCCTTCGCGGGCCGGATGTGGCCCGGGGTCTGGGAGTTACTAACCCCTGTGATAGATGTTAGTACGAATCCCAGGTAGGATAGACTTCATGCCTTCAAATGAAAATGGCAGCAATAAACTTGATTTAAACTTACTCTTCTTTTCCTGATTACATTAATAAAATATTGTTTTTTGTCGCCCACTTTATAACAACTTTCTCCATCTTACAATGGCCTGAGTATTGTATACTTGGACTTAACGAAAACAGGGTGAGTACTAAATTAGAACTAGATGATATACAGGGTGCAATGGGTAAATTATCGCCATTTTATATTTTTAAATCCGCGCATGCGTGTTGTTTGGTTTTTATTTTGTTGATTGTACATTATAGTAGTGTCAGTTGGGTATCGTCTGTGAGAAAAAGAGCACCATGACTCCACCAGGAATTTGGAAACGGTTCGCTGTACTGCTTAGCATTCGCCCCGGAAGTTTCAATACGAACATTTCAGAATCTGAGGACAGTGCAGAGGATTCGGAAAGAGTTTATTGATATCAACATCATAATGTCTGGAGTGATCACTAGTGATGGCGACGTTATACCTCCATTCAACTTCTCACAGGGCCCCAGACTCAACACAGAGACATAAAGGAGGAGACAGTGTTGCCCTAGGCCAAGGAGGTGCTGGAAGACCACACAAACAGGAGAAGCCAGTCATAGCTTTCAGACAATTTCTGCGACCACATCACCACTTACATCTGGCCGCCTAAAACCCCAGAATGCAACTACTTTGATTATTATGTGCGGAGCACAGTTGAGAGAGAGAGGGAAAGAGAGAGAGAGAGAGAGAGAGAGAGAGCAACAAAACTCATATATTACCAAAGAGGAACTGAAGGCAAGGTTTATGGCAGTATTCACTAACTTAAAAAAGGAGACCGTCTAGAATAGTTGCAGGTGATTCCAAAGTTGTCTGGAGGCTGTGGTTGAAGCTAATGGCAATGTTTTTTTAAAAAAAAATTTACTCTTTAGTATTTCAAGATATTTTTGTATAATTTTAGTAAGTATATCTGTTAAAACGAGACGTCAATGTTATTTTTATTTTTTGCATAATTTAGACGACAATTTATCCATCGCACCCTGTATTCCTAAATGTGGTCAGTGGAACGAGAACAATCTACACCTGTAGGTTAAATACACTCGAAATTCCTTGAATGTTATCGGGAGTAACAAGCACCTGATGAAAAGGCCGAAACGTGATAACAACAACAATGATGGGGATCATAAACCACATGTAAATAATATAAATAATAATAACTCATAAATCTTATAATTATAATAAAAAAATAGAAGCGGTAGAAATATGTATTGATTCATAATGAGAAAAGAGGGCGTAGAGAATTTAACACACATAACATGTTGAAAGCATCAGAAGTAAGAAGAAATAATGAGTAACCCACTAGACGAATTTGTGTGAATTGGTGAACAGTGACAAAGAGAGATGAATAAAGGGTCAAAAATAAGTTGTGAAGAGTCATGTTCGCTCGCAGTTTGTAGTGGGTTGACAGAAAAAAAAAAGAATAGCATTGTCTTCTATGCTTGTTAATTTCAGAAATTTAATCTCGGGGGATGGGCAATAATAATTAACCTGACCTCACAATGGAGCGGCTTAAGCCACCTACTTTGCTGGTATGGTTTGCACTTTTATCATCTTTACGTATATAGGTCAATTCTAATAAACACGATTTTGAACGGGGAGTTGCTATGCCTCCATAAAGAAAATAGAAAAGGTAAACTGTAATAGAATGAGAAAAAAAAATTTCAAATCGGAAACGAATGGTTGCCTAGGAAATCAACAAACTTTAACTTTTATGTCCTAAACATAGCTGTCTGATGCCAACCATTATTTCATAAATTAGATTAAAAACCATTTTCTGTTGTTTGTCTCTTTCGATATTTATAAAATTTTGTTTGGCAAATCGAAAACTGATTTAATTGCGAGTTGGATATCTGTATTATGTGAAAATCAGTAATTAAATCCTTTTTTTTCATCTGTAGACAGAGTGGAGTATTGGATAGAGGCTCGGATTGAGGAGTCGGACTCCCGTCGATTATATTCACTTACGCGCTAATACCGTTGATAAAGGTATGAATCCATTGCTTCTCCTCTCTCTTCAACTATAGGTAAACAGCAGGAAAGACTGGATCCTATAACCTTGCGTCTAGGAGAAAGCCAGCTTTGAATTTAAAAACAGAAACCCTCGGGTACGGACCTAGGGTGTCCTACTGTTTGATTCTTTACTGTAGATATTCAAATATAACCGCAAATATAGGTAAGAATTTTGATCCGACGCATCATGTTAAAATACCGTCTTTCAGCTGATTACTGAACTTTGGCAAAGCTGAACCTGCCAGCAGCAAGATGGATAACTGCTTGGGAAGACCTGGTACTGTAAGCCCTACCAATATGCATAGGAAGGTAATGGCCCTTTTTACACACGAACGGCAAAGATTGAACGATTAGGAGAGAAGTCTACGTTCAACAAAGGACTTTCACAGGCTAATTAAAACAGAGATATTTATTTGGGGAATTATTTAAAAAAAAAAAAATGAAAATTGGCCCATAGTAGGGAATATTATTATCTTATATTTCGCAAAGAAACATTCTTTGAGTTTTGGCAATTTTTTTTTTTCCTGTCAGATGAACTTCCAACCTAACTGTCTAGCATTCCTTAACATGGGAATTTTTTTCCTTTTTTTTGGGGGGGGGTGATTCTTTCTTCTGACGAACCAACTTCGAGCCGAAGTTGTAGATATCCAGTAACTTGTGTTTAGTAAGCAAATATTCTTTAATATTGGGCAATTATTTCACCCACCCGAACAAATAATTTTAAGTATATTTGTGTTAAGTAAGAAAATATTATTTCAGGCAATTATTTTATATAAACAATTAACTTCAAATATTAAGTAAGTAAGCAAATATTTTTTTTTCTTGGGCAATTATTTTATCTGAACAAATAATATCCAGTATATTTGTGTTAAGTAATCAAATATTCTTTAATATTGGGCAGTTATTTCACCCGAACAAATAATTTCAAGTATATTTGTGTTAAGTAAAGCTATATTCTTTTGGGCAATTATTTTATCTGAACAAATAATTTCGTGTATATTTGCGTTAATTAATCAAATATTTGGGGTGGGGTGGGGGCAATTATATTATCCGAACTCTTACTTCTTAGCATTTAGATTAAATCATTATCTTCCTACTACTAATAATTGTATTAATTTTAGATGTTACTCAACTAATTTTTATTTCGTAATATTCTTTGTTGTTTTTCAGATTATTTAAAACCAAAAAATATTTTTTAGACTGTATGAATTTTTTTGAAGATAAAAATTTACTGATTCAGGACCTACTAATTAACCCATTTCTAGTGTGGGGGTGGGGAGAAGAGTATTTGCGCGTAATTGAAACTCGACTCTCAATCGAATTCGGCTCCATGATTTTCAAACCAGGAACCCTTATCCACTACATCACCCGTACATCTAAGCTTAAAGAACCTCACATTCCCAAGTGGTCACCCATCTAGGTACTGAACATACTCGCTGTTGCTTAACTTCAGTGACCGTACGGGAACAGGTGTTTCAACATATGACCGTCAGCCGCCCAGTAGTGTAAAGTATTTTCTTCTTTACGACCTAAATGATTCATTCATTTGAAAACGTTTTAATTGTTGATCTTAGAGAAAGTTTGTATAATGATAGATTAGATATTTTTGAATGAGATGGAAAGCCATGCATGACATACAGATAAACGTCTAGAGCTGTGGAACCTTTTAAAGAAAATGAGTTTTCAGGTTAATATTTTAATTTTCTAACATCTGAACTTTGTTGGAGCAAAATCCCCCTAACAGAATCTTTCCCATATTCGATTTCTTTATTTCTTATACTGATTGTTTTAAATAAATGATCCATAAATATAATTCTGGTTCAAATTAGTTAATTAATTAATCTTCTGTTCGAATTGCTATGTCCCTTCAGGATTTGGATATTCATTCCACTACATAGTCCCCTGACCATTATAGTTGTGAATAGATTTATTTAATGCAAACCTTGAATTAAAACCTTTCTCGGAATTTAAATATCCAACTAAGATCCCTATCACCTTCATCATTGTTATCTTCTAGGTGGTATTTTCTCTGTTTGGCTGTTAGAATCCTATTGTTTCGACAGTTATGCATTTGACCTTCTTCATTGATTTGGTAAAATTCGGCAATGTTTGAAGTGAACCTAGTATTCATTCAAGGGGGGGTGGAGATTGTTTTGATTCAGCTCTCTATACCCAGGAATATCTTGTATAACCGAATTTTTGCCATTTAATTCGTCTTTCTGATGATTTTCATTCGATAAATATACATTGAAATAATGTATATTTATTAAACTAGCTTGAAAATGGATTGACCTCAGAAGAGTCAAGAAAATACATGCACTTTTAAAAATGCATTTACCTACAAGGTCATTATTTTGTCTTAACTAAGAGATATCTCCTCGCCTGAAGATTGGATTGAGGCTATACTAAACTTGCTTGAGAGGATATATAATCCAGGCGGCAGAATACAATGAGCAAAACTTTACCACAATAAATAAGAAGCTGAGAACAATTGTCTGAACATAGTAATTCCTCATTTAAGAAATCTAGTTTCATTGGCTGTTTCTTGTTACACAATTAAGTGATTAATTCAACCTCAATTTTGCATGTGACAGATAAGTTAATGTATATTTAGAGCAAATAAATTATTGTTTCTGACACCTGTCAGGCATACGTTGCTACATAACAAGAAAATCGTATTTTCCTCAACAAAAAACTAGTGTACACATCTGCTGTTTCCCAGCAAGGCGATAATATTCCTAAACTTTATTCACGCTGTATGAGGGTATGTCAGGAACAGCTGCCCCATTTACGTATTTTTCATTATCATACTTCTTTCTATATAAAGCTAAGAGATAATTTCTTCCACAACACACGTCCTTTGTTCCTGGAAAGATCTTCTCAAGGTTTGTCTTCAGTAAGTATTATCTACGTTTATCAAAAAAATTTGTTGATTTGTTAATGCTTAAACAACTATTGTTGTTTTTCATGTTTGCTTTCACGATCAAGAGGACCTAACAGAATTAAGATTATAGAAGTAAATGCGAATGGAAGACTTTTAAATATGTAAGATAGATTCTGGAGGGAAGAGGTGTCTGACACAATACAGTGAACCAATTTTCTACAATTTATACAAGCGTGGGCTTGTTATTTGGTTAAAATGTAAAAGGTACAATCCAGGATTTTGAATATTGATTTTGAGCTCCCTACACCAAACAATTTGGAAGACTGATATAACACAATTTTCTTTCAGATACAAAATTTGCCTTCTACCTTGTTAAATATCGATTACACTCCCTATAATGAGTCCAGTTTTGCAGCCAAAACGACCATTTTAAAACAGAATTTCTCAACGGGAGCCATAGGGCCCCATCGAGGTTCTGGTACCGTCGGCTGAAAGGTAATAAATTACTTCTGTTTATGTGTCTTAATGAAACCATGTCAAATAAGAGTTCCAGAGTGGCTGAACACAATTTTTTTTCTTTGGTTTTGGTCATAAGAACTATCTTAGTCTGTAAGAGTGAATTACTCTCTTCAATTGAAATGAGAGTAACTTGTGCAGCATCGCCATCACGTTCTTCCTTTCTTTTCTACAATCGAGACGTACTAATGACAAATACATAGTCAAGATACCGTGTCCTTTCAGGACGTAGATGATCATGGCACACCACAACTTCCTATCCTTCACGGTCCTAAGTAATGCTGGTTTTCTTACGATCCATACTAGTCCCTGTTATGTCATTTATTTAGGCAATGTAATTAGATCGGTTATTCAATATTTCCCATTGTCCCTCAATATGTTCTTTGGGTGCCAAATTCTCCAAGCTCTCATTCCTCATTATGTGTCTTTCAAATTTCAAATGTTTCTTTATGATCATAAGCACAAGTGTTCCTATTTTCCTTAAAATTTTCTCGTTGCTCAAAGGTTCTGCCCATGAAATTCTCAGCATCCCTCTGTAGATCTAGTAGTTGTGTTAATTCTAGTCTTCTAGTTCGTCTACAAGGGAATTATCTAGCATTCAATGCTAACATAGCAGATCAGCACTATTTTCTTTGTTTCTAACGAAAATTTTCTTTTTCTTAATTTCTGTTTAGATTTTCGAAGGCATCTTTCGCTATTCTAATAATCGTCGCAGAATAAAAGACAGAAAAATTTCGGCAAAGAAAGGATCTATTTCATGCTTTATTCAGAAGAGATTAATGTAAAATTTACATCAGTATCCATAACAAAATTAAGCTCTAACCTGATTTAACTATGGACAGTTAGCCACTACACCAATTCGTTAGTGACGCGCTGAGTTTCCGACGGGGAAATATTACACTTTCCATATGGTTTAAACATGGGAAACATTTTCTGTAAATAGAGTTCATTTACAATCCACTGGACAGACAACATCAGAAACGGAAATCTATTCTTCGACTCTTTTAGGCTGTTTTGAAATTCACAGATAAAGTCTTTTAATTGTTCTTCTTTCATACGCTACGTAACTTCAGGGCGTGTCCGATCACGTGACTATCCACATTTTCTTGACTTTTTGTGATGTGACACGTGTTGCTGTTCTGTCATTCAGTCACACAAACACATTAACGAGTTTTTACCTGCTATCTTCCTGCTTCTCTTGCCTACATTACGTCATGTGAAAGTTTAATTTTTTGAAGTCTTCTTTCCTCATCATATCTTCCAGAATTTCAACTGGCTCTTTCAGGACTGTAATTTTACGTCTCATTTTAATTCTTATTTTCTTTAAAACTTTGTCGTTGCTCACATCTTCACTCCATGGTATTCTCAGCATCCTTCGGTAGAATAAATGTCGCTTAATGTCTTTATTTTCCCTTCAATGCCACACTACCAGATTAGATAAGTGTCTTTGCTGTGACTTTATTTTTTTATTAAGTTCTGATTATATGTTCGTTTTCATTGTTTTATACTACAACGTTTTTAACCGATACATTTCTTGAATTTCAAGTAAACACAAAAAATTACGCACTGGAAATAAAAGCTCACAACAAAAACTGAAATTGCATGCTGGTGTATCAAAATCTACCCGTCCTTTTCAGTTAAGTTTTAGACTAGATAGATAGATAGATAGATAGATAGATAGATAGATAGATAGATAGATAGCAAACAAGTGTACACAGATAGACGATGAACAGGCAGAGAGACAGACAGACAGATAGATAGATAGATAGATAGATAGATAGATAGATAGATAGAGAGAGAGAGAGAGAGAGAGAGAGAGATCGACAGGGAGATAGAAAACAACGTACGCAGGTAGACGATGATAGATAGATATGATCAAACTTCGATCTAAGTGTATAATGAGTGTTGAAATGGCGTATGCTATGCAGCATCACACATTTTAAAATTCTTTGTCTGTAAAACTTGAATCTAAAACTAAAACGAAAAGGCATAACCTGTATTTTCTGCGATGAATTAGGAAAGAAAATGAAAACCTGACAGTTTGTTAGTCTTTATTTACCCGCTTGGATCTAAACGACATGATCAATTGAGAGGAAAAACGGATGACATTCAACAGAGCACATTTCTTGGCACATTTTACCCTACATGTTCCTCCCGACATGTCTGAACAGGATTATCTTTTTTTTATCCTTTTTTTTTTCAGTCAGGCTTTAGGCTTCTCGTCTTTCTTTTAATTTCACAGATTCGGAGTGAGTTAGTTTTGACGAATTTAATCTGATCCATTGGACGGTGAAGTGTGTTGCGATAAGATTTCTGGAGATGGCCTGTTGCTAAGGGAGGCGAATATCGGTGAGATCAACAGACGTCAGTGATATCACAATAAATTCCGTCTGCATATCACTGCTAACACAAGGGCAGTTAACTTTGTTCAGCACATTAGAACTAAATATATATATATATATATATATATATATATATATATATATATAGATGGAGGACTTTTTCGATATTTTCTCGTGTATATATATATATATATATATATATATATATATATATATATACATATATATATACGAGAAAATATCGAAAAGTCCTCCATCTAAATTATTTCCTAAATCTGGACAAATGTTTAAATATCTGAAATTCATAAATCTGTATACTGGATGCTACCTACGAAATCGTGAAATTTGAATAGCTTTATTAAATCGTGAAATTTGAATAGGTTTATCATTGTATTAGTCTCTCATATTTTTCCCGGTGTTTTTTCTGTCTCTCTATACATCTCTGGAATACAACATTATCAGGAAGCAAAACATATTTTACTGTCTTTATAGAAAACCTTTAACGCTATAGCTTGCACCAACTTTTATGTAGCTAATCAAGAAAGAAATAATCCGACCATTTTTTGCCTACTGAGTCGAATATAAACTCAAGTATGAACCCAAGTAATGGTTAACTTTACGTACAGAGTTGAGTATAAACTCGAGTATGTATCCAACCAATGGTTAAATTTACCTAGATTCAAGTATAAACTGAAGTATGAACCCAGACAATGGTTAAATTTACTCAAGTGCAAACCCGAATATTTA